AAAAAAAAAAAGAAGTCCTTCCACAGATGAGCGGCTCAAGACACAGGTCCATCCAGACAATGGAATATTATTCAGCGTTAAAAAACAAATGAGGTTTTGAGCCAAGTACAGACATGGAGGAAGGAAGCTTAAGTACATAATACTGAGTGAAAGAAGTCAGTCTGAAAAGGTCATATACTGTATGATTCCGACTGTATGACATTCTGGAAAAGCAAAACTATGAAGACCGTAAAAAGATCAGTGGTTGCCAGAGGTTAGTAGGGAGGGAAAAAGGAATAGGGAAGAAATCTGGATTTCAGGGGCAATGAAACTGTTTTGTAAGATACCACAATGGTGGGTACCTGTCATTCTACATTTGTCAAAACTCCTACAATACACAACACCAAGGGTGAACCTTAAGTGTAAGCCTTGGACTTTGGGTGAAGATGATGAATCGAGGCAGGTTCACTGATGACAACAAGTGTACCTCTGTGGTGCAGGAGGTTGATAGTGGGGGAAGTGGCGCACTGGAGGGACAAGGGATACCGGGGGGAATCTCTGTACTTTCCGCTCAGTTTTACTGTGAACTGCCTTAAAACTGCTCTAAGAAATAAAGTTTATTAATTAAAAAAAGATTTAAATGGATAAACGACAGAATTCCTCCTTCTCCCTGTTCCCACAGTTGTGGCATGAACTTATATTTTTCCTCGTACATCATTGGATTCAGGGTTCAAGTTTCACAGGGCCTTTTGCTCTAAAAACCATGAGTGCAAAGGTTCTCGACCCTCTACTGGAGTTTCTGCTGAACCGTCAAGATAAAGCAAGAGTGTCAACTTCCAATCTTCTTTTAAAGACAAGTATGGACAACTCAGATCCCCATGTCAGGATGATGTCACAATGACAAAGTCAAAGCCACTGCAAGAGTTCGGGGAGGCCATCTCAGCCCCTGGCTTTCAAATTGGTCTTAGCATCAGAATCCAGTTTTCAAATGAAATTACATAGAACCCTCCAAATATATAAGAGTTAATAGAGTTAAAAAAAAAAAAAATCAGAACTGTCCTGGCACCTGATTCTAACACGTTTCATTTCCTAACACAGTCATTATTCCTTCCAGCTCATCAACTGAGAAATACAATAGACGCCTCTCCTATATTATTGTCCAAATAGTTGGTGACAATGCTGAACAGGACAGGGCTCAGTAGCATAATTTGGAAACTTCCCTTTTCTTTTGCATATACAGACACATTGGCAAAATGTAATGATGTAAATAGTTTGGACATTATGTTATAAAATGCATAGAAAATGCATAGAAATGTAAGATTGCATAGAAAAGTAAGGGAACAGAATAATGAACATCTACATCTAGATTTCAGGGTTGTAATTATTTTTCTGTATTTCTGTTGCATATATAGGCACTGATTTTTTGGGGGTCCTGATTTGGACAAACCAGCTATAAAAGACATTGTGGGACTGCTGAAGGACATCTGAATTTTAAAAAGGCACTTCTGCCAAGTCCAGGACTCCTGGGAACACTTTAAGACCCAATGGTCCAGCCTCCCTTGGATTTTGCACACGGGGATTCTGGGCCCCAAACAAGGAAAAGCCCAAAAAGCCTCCGGGAGGCTGGCTTCTGCCTGCCCCTTTAGCTCCTATCCTAGGCTCCCTAAAAGGCATTCTGTGCTCCAACCGCATCACACATGCATTCCTGCAAACATTTCACAGATCTCAAGCCTCTGTGTCTTTGCTCTACCTTTAAAACAAAGCTGAGGCATCACCTCCTCCAGGAAGCCTTTCCTCACACCCTTCATCCACCCTACGTCCAAGGTTGGAGGTAGGTCAAGCAGAAGCCAGCACCCCCAGGAATGGGTAGCACACAGACCTAATAGTCTAGGTCGGCAGAACCAAACCAAACCTGCAAACTAGCAGGGAGGTGTGAGGGCGGCCTGGAGAACTGCACCTGTAAAAGGAAATTCCAAAAGGGAAGTAAGAATTGCTAAGAGAGTCACTCAAAATGGGGTGGGGAGGATACCGAGGAAGCAGGCCTATGGGCTCGTTTCAATTCTGGGAACACCATGAACTCTTGACTTTTGTCCATTATGACTTGCCAATTGCACATTGATGGCCTCTTGGAAGACCTCCTCTACTGCGAACTGAAATAGAGATAATGTAACACCTGTTAGCTACAGAGCCAATCCTGCATCAGGTGGTCCGTCAAGCGTTGTCAGCACCAATCACGATTCCTTCAAAACAAGTTACCCAACCCTGTGGGTTTTGTCTTCATAAGCCTGCACTCCCCATTGCAAATCCGAGCACGATCTCAATCTCGGTCCTCTCTGTGCCTCCCACATCGCAAATCCTAAGACCCCAAATAAACACTTTTGGTTGCTTTACAGCCTCTTCTTGATTGACATACCTACTGTCTTGATTCCAGATGAAAACAAAGGCCAATGGTGGATCTTAACCAACAGATACCCAAGTGACCTCTAGCTGTGATTAAAAGCCATAAACACAAAAAGAACAACAGGAAAATGTCTGTGCATAAGGTCTCTCTGTGCCTCCTCGGATTCCATGCAAAGGAATAAGCCCCTGAGACGTCCGAAGACCCCTCTCCTTGCCCTGCACTCTCCCAGGACACTCCAGCAAGAACTGAACGCCCCGCGTTGTGACATTGTTTCTGTGTCTCTCATCTCCCCCCCTCGACGGCAGGAGCTGGTCTCACTCTCTCTATCCCTCTCCTAGACCCTCTGGCAAAGGTCTGGTACAGAACAGGCCTGCAAAGGTTTGCAGAATTGGGTACCATCCCGGCCAGGCGCTAGCACCCGAAGATTTCCACGTGGCCGCAGCGCCCTCTGCCGGGCGCATCCCGCAGCCGCGGGGCACTCACCTGAGCGGGGGCGTTCACCACGGACAGGTTGTACCCGTAGAGGAAGGAGGAGCCGAAGGCGCCTACGAGAGATGCCACGATGAGCGAGCAGGACCAGTCCTGGGAAAGGAGAGGACAGCACGTCAGATCTGGCAGTCGGGCACAGAGCCAGGGGCCCACAGGACGTACCTGGGCTGTCCCCTCGTCTGGGGAGGCCGCCCCTGAGAATTCCCAGGACAAGGATACAAGTTTCTGGAGCCGGCCGGCAGGTGAGTTGCCCATCCAGGTCCACCTGTGCAGGCAGGCGCCCTGGGTGAGTTGGGTCAGCCCCCGGAGCTCAGTTTGCTTCTGACTGCTGCAACAAATCAGTGACTGGCAGACCTAACGTCCTTAGCAGGTGCTTTGTAATCAGCCACATAGTATTATTTCGGTTCAATTTGGCCACTTTCTGAACCACACAGGAGCAAAAAGCAAAGCCGGACACAGCCGCCAGCATCTGGGGCTTACAAGAGGTATGGGCCAGACATTGCTCAGAGCCCTTTCTGGGTATTCTATCCGGGAATCCTTAGATCAGTACTATTTGATCCTGATGTTATTAGGTGAGGAAACGGGCACAGAGGTGTCCATGCTGCTGTCCGGGGTGGGGGCTGGGGCCCATGCAGTCTTGCGCGGCACCACACTGCCTCTCCGTCTGGGAACGTGTCTCGGGGCCTGAGGCTGCCCAGCTGCACACGCGCTCACATGCGCGCGCACGCACCGCCGCACCTGCCGTTCCAGACTCAGCTGTCCATCCGCAGGCCACTGTGAGCCCCTCAGGCCAAAGGCCTACAGAGACATACAGGGCTCAGCCTGGAGAACGAGGCATCTGCCTCCATGAATCCTGTCCTTCGGCCTCATCCAAGGATGGTCACAACCAGGACAGGGCCCTGGAGCGGAAGCATCTGGGGCCCTTGGCAAAAGCTGACCAGCCCGCAGGAGCTGGAGACAGGACGGGTTGCCATCCTAAGCTGGCCGGGGGAATATGGGCCAGTCTCCAGATGGAGGCGACCCAGGTGCTCTCGGAAGCCGCTTTCTGCTAGCCTGTAATGTATGTGCACTTTGCAGGCCAGGCCCTCATAAAGCTCCAGGGGTACGGCGGCAAACAAAACAGACAAGGTCCAAAGTTCCGGGAACTGAGCCGGTCAAATACTGTTTGGAAGGGAAAGCAGGACCCCAATAGCCAATTCCCTGCTCTGCCCACCTCAGTAGTCTCCTCTAGCACGGGATGCAGTGCTGGATGTTCCCACTACTCAGCTGTGGGCACTGGAGCCAGTTTCTTGACCTTTCTGGGTCTCAGCTTGCCCAGCTGGAAAATGGATCTAAGAACAGCACGGCTATACAGGTTGTTGAGCACTCGCCGTGTTGCTGGGTGAGGATGTTTAGAATGTTGCATGCGCACAGGAAGGGTTCAGAAAGCCTGTTTACTCTTTTCTGCTTTCCCTCTGGCCCAGCCATACAGAATGGCTGTTGCCCAGGTCAGGTGCCAGGATCTCCCTTGGCTTGGCCCATGCAGCTACGTATGCCCGGAATTCTCCCTTCTAGAGACTTGTGTATCCAAGACCCATGACCAATGTCCTCTCCTCTGAAAGCTCCATCTCCTCATGTTGACATTTGTCTATGATTCAGCTCTGTCCTACCCCGGCCTCTGCCACTTAGGACTGTAACCTTGGACCAGTTACATAGTTGCTCTGTGACTCAGTGTTCTTATCAGAAACTGGGGATGATAATAGACCCCACCTAACGGGCTGTTATGCTGAGTTAACACTGTGCCCGCGAGCATTAGCAACAGAGGCCAGACAGTGGGCAAGCATCTCACTTTTTGAGGGTGGGGGCTCTTGCTTCCAGGAACCAAGCCTGCTGCAGAGAAGGTAGTCAGGAAATGCTAGTGATCAGAGGGAGGTGAGAAAGGGGGTTTATAAGCCACTGGGTTGGACATGGTCAGATGTGGGGCCAGAATCTTTTCCTGCAGTAAGAGGGGCCTGAACTGCATGGGATTCATCGATGGAACAGAAATGCACTTTGGACAAAATGCCCATTCTCCATAGTCCCTTGTCCGCTGGGTCTTGGCTCAGATGTCACTCCTCCCGACTCCCTGGGCTGTCCCGGGCGGCCTTCTGTCCCTGGGCCCCCTTGCTTCCAGCCCTGGTCACTGTCCCCTTGTCTGTACCCATCAGAGGATAGAGAAGGGCAGGTGGGAGTCTCTCCCTGGAGCCCGGGCCCCCACTTGGCCAGCCGGTGCCCACCCCCTCTCATCACCTGCCCTAGGGACAGAGGGTACCAGCTGTGGGGGCGGGGAAGGAAGAGGGGACACTACCCAGCATGTGCGAGGCCTCATTTCCTGAGCACAGCCACGTTGCCAGAGGAAACTGCAGCTCCAGAGCGGGAGCTCCATGGCCAAGGTCACGGGGACCGGGATGCCTGCACTCAAGGCAGGCTTCTCTGACCCAGGGCCCCAGGCCTTCCAGGCCGCAGAGGCAGTTAGGCACAGCCACCCACGCTGGGCCTCTGAGCCCCGTGGCAGGGTCCAGAGGCCGGTTTCTGTGTTTACCTTTCTGGTCCTCCTGCCCGGTGTCCCTCTCCGGGAGCGGCCACGCTCGACAGCTCCTGCGCGAGCCCAGGCCCGGGAGTCCATGCTCCTCCGGCCCCGGGCTGTGCCAGGGCATCTCTGAGCAGGAGGCAGAGTCCACGAGGGGGCGGGGGCCCGGCAGGAAATGCGGCAGTTCTGTCTTGTCTGAACAGGAAACGGGCACCGTGGGCTCCCCCCCACCCCACCCCCGTTCCCAGTCATAGCAGCAACCCAGGAGTCCTGGAAGGGCAACTTGCCTTCTCAGAAATCACCACCCAGGGCAGGGATTTTTCCTTTGGCACCTTTGATTTCTCCCTTCCAACCGCGTGCAGCGAGGGAGCACCGGGCATGAAGCCAGGGTGCCTCCCGAAGGATCGGGACAGAAGGAACGTCACTGGTGGCAGGGGAAGCCTGCCGGTGTCCCAACCCTGCCTCTCTAACTGTGTCCTTAGCCAAGCCACTTTGCTTCTCTGAGCTACGGTACTTATGAGGGCAAAACGGATCCCTCCTGGACTGTCCGTCCGTTAGTTATTCTGAGGCTCAACTAGAAAACACATAGCTTCGAGCAGCATGTTGGATGTGGGCATGCCTGCCCTGCAGCTCTCCAACAAATAAGGAGGCTCTGCATTTGGAAGAAAAAAGATCTGCCCCTCTTTTGGTCATTACTCTGTCCTGCTCACTCAGTGTTGGCTCAGGGAAGATCTCTTCCTTGCGCAACCCCAGGCTGGCTCAGGGAACGCATGAAGGGGGCAAGACCCCTCCATGCATACTTATGTCATGAGAATTGATTCACCACGTGGCCAGTTTGCCCCAGATGTCAGAGAAGTACCTTTAATCATGACAGGTTTAGGACAGCCTGCCTCAGCCATTTGCTCCCAGACGCAGAAGGCAGGTACCGAGGCCAGTGGGCGAAGGTATGTTTGGGGAATACAGAACCCAGAGAAGGCTAGGGAGGTATCAAGTCCACGAAAAGAGACAAGAAGCAAGCAAACTAGGTTCAGTGGATCACAGACAATGAACCTGGGGCTGGATCATGGAAGACTCTCTGGAAGAGGTGATTCCTGAGTAAGCCCGGGGGGGCGGGTGATGGGGGGGATATGCAGGCAGAGAAGGGGCGTGGGGTGGGAGATCATGAGCCCAAACCCATGGGCATAGATGCTCTGGGGTATGTGGGAAAGCAGAGTAATTGAGCATGGCTGGGGCCTGAGGTATGGGAAGGGGCGCAGGAGGGGACTGGACAGCTGCTTCCCAGGGTCTTGGGGACACACACTGTGCCGTCCTGATGGGGACTTTATGTTCATCCTCCTCTCCTCCCCCCCTCCCCCTCCTTAGCTCAGGCCCTTCCGTGTATTCTCCCTGGCTCCTCATCGCTAACAGGGGGTCTCACCTGATTTCGCTAGAACTCAGACTGAGGCAGGTGATCTACCCCCACCTCCGCCATTTAAAATCGTTCCGTGCTTTCCCATTGGAGTTGAAAACTCAGTAGGCCCCAGGACCCAGGACAAATATGCAACTACATTTGGGTGTGAAGTGGGGAGTGGGGGCGGGGACCCCCCCGCGCTGTGAAGGCTTCCCAAGTCAGCAAGCATTAAAGGCCCTGCCCGCCGAGCACAGCATGTCCACAAGCCAGCAGCGGGCTCCGAGTGTGGCCTTGAGCCCCTGTCAGAGCTGTCCCTGCACACCTCTCCTGCCTCAGCCTCCCTGATCCAACAACCTGCTGAATCTGAGCTCCAAGGCCAGAAGCCGGAGGGGATGCAGACCCCAGGGATGGAGGGAGACCAGCCGCCAGCCGCCTGCCTGGCCTGGGTCCGGCCCTGTACCAGGTGCTGCCCCAGACCCTAAGACTGGACATGCGCAGACTTCACTTTTCCTTTTGGTCCCGCAGCCTGGAGGCGGTGCTTGGCCTGAAGAGTTCCTCTTATTGGTGGAGGTGGCTGCCCATAACTCCGCAGCCCCCCCCCCCCCCCCCCCCCCGCCAACTGGGAAGGAACCCAGAGGGGAGCAGTGCCTTGCCCGAAGTCGCTCACCTGAGAGTAGACCCCGCTCAAGTTCCAGGCCAGTGCTCCAGCTATTTGGAGAGTGGCCTTCACGTTAACTGCACTGCCTTCCTTTGAATTTGAGCTTTTCAGGGTGACAAAATGGACAGCTCTACTTTCTGGGAAACCTTGGTGGAGGTGACACGAGCTGTCCCTTCCCGTTGCCACAGCTTAGTGGCTTAAAACCCAGACACGGGTGGCGCACGGTCTGGGTTTGAGCCTCCCGCTCAGCCAGTTAGGACCTGGGAGCCCCGGTGCAAGTCCCTCGGCCTCTCTGTGGCACAGGGTCCTCGTCTGTAACGTGGGCATGATGGGGCCACCGCCTCATAGACTTGTGGAAGATTCTGTGAGTTTATACTCGAAAAGCACGTCAAACCGTGGAAGCTAAAACATCAGCCAGCATACAGCAAGCATACAAGAAATACTCACTAGTATGTTTTAAATCACCTTGTCCCCAGATAATGTGCTGTATCTGGACCCAAATGCTCTCACCCTTTTCTAAATAAGTACCATCCTGCGTACTCTGCGTAGAAAGATCTGGGCCCCTCTAGGGAATTAGTGCCCTCCGCGGTAAAAGGGGAGGTCTGGAGCCAGGTTAATGTCATGGGACAATTGCTAAGGCCTGTGCCAGTGCTCAAGTTTGGTCTCTCGGTGATGAACATGATGCGTCACACCTCCCTGGCCCAGACAGCAGGTAACTGGGACTGCCCATCACCCAAGCACCCTCCTCCTGCATCTCCTGGGTCACGTCTACACTGCTTTGCCCTTGGCCAAATGTGTTCACGCCCATGATATCACCAGTCCTCCGGCAGCCATCCGAGGAACTGCTAGGCCGACGTGACAGGGAAGAAGTGGAGTTTGCTTGGCCTGTGGCGCCGTGCTCTCTGGCAGACCCTGAGAAAGTTAACTCTATCAAGGATGTGGCCATTAGACAAATGTTCCCAGATGTGCTGAGGCTGAGCCACAATCACCCTCTTCTGACACTGACTCCTGTATGCACACACCCACCCACCATTATTTATCGAGGACCTACCCCTGCCAGGTTCTCCTGGCCCTTGCTCAGGCTTGCCCTCTGGCTACCCATAACTGCTCATCGGTCGGCACTCCGCCCTCTCACCAGCTCCCCCTAAAGCTCCGCAGGGCCTCTCTCTGCCCCTCTGTGCTCTGTAGGCCACTCACAACTGCTCTGACTGTGATCATCCTTACTTACAAGTGTCTGTCCCCATGTGTGCCTTTCCCTCTGGACAGGAGCTCACCAAGGGCTGGGGCTGTGTGTGTCTGTTATGCCGTGAACTGTTTCCCCCTCCCCAGATTTATCTGGGGAAGTGTTAACCCCCAGCACCTCAGAAGGTGACTGTATTGGGGTACAGGGTCTTTAAAGAAGAAAGTGGGGTAAAATGAGATCACTAGGGTAGACCCCAATCCGATATGACCAGTGTCTTTATAAGAAAAGCACGGGACACAGACACATATAAAAGAAAGTCCATGTGAGGACGTGGGGAGAGGACAGCCGTCTACATGCCAAGGACAGAAGCCTCAGAAGGAACCAACCCTGCTGACATCCTTGATCTCAGACTCCAGCCTCCAGGACCATGAGAAAGTAGATCTCTGTTGTTTAAGCCCCCCAGCTTGTGATGCTTTGTCACGGTGGCCTGAGCAGGCTAATCCAGCGTCCTGAGCCTCTTTGGATTCCCAGTTTTCTTCCCACCTCACTCAGGAAAGGGGCCAGGTAGATACTTCTGGAACTCAAACTGATGGTGTCCTGAAGCTAGAAAGTCAGCTTGGACAAGATGAAAATTTTCTACCAGGAAAGGAAAAAAAAAGGGGGGGGTAGTTTATTGAATATCATCTAAGCAGAATGATTGAGATGACAATATCACTTCCTTCATGACACCAAATGCCTAGACAGCAGAGCCTTGACTCTACCTCATAGGAGTGTGTCCTTGGAGGGAATGACTGTTTATTTAACGTGACTCTGCCACATCCCTGGATGACCCAAGGAGGTGGCTGGACCCTCCTTAAACCTCTGTTTCACACCTGTGGGTGGGGACGATCACTCTTAGGCTGCCAGTTCCACAATTCCCTGGAGGTTTGATAAATACACTTGGGTTGATCTTTGTCCGGCTAAATAAGGTTTATTAAAAATATGGACACATTTTCTTCTGAGTTCTGGTTGCTTCTGCTGCCCTCACAGGAGATGAGGCACAAAGGGACCAGGGTTCGAGACCACTCCCCCCGAAACTAGCTACATAGCCTTGGACAGGTGGCTTCATCCCTGTCTGAGACGCAGTTCCTCGCCTGCAAAATGAGGGTGGTGATGTCTTCACTGCGGTATGGCCAAGAGAACCGAAGGAGACACCCGGGTAAAGGCCCCACACAGAGCAGGTGCTGTCTGGCTTTGGTTTTTGAGTCTGGTTTAAAAGAAGGTGCAAGGATCCCTGAGGAGTGAGGGCGTCTCTGGGGCAGAGGGACTGGGCCTTGTGGTGGGGTAGGGGATGGGTTTCAGCGTATCCTCAAGGACAGCGACATCCTCACTCTCACACAGCAGTGTCCCCTCATTGCGAAATGACCTTTGGAGTGGAGACCGCCCCCCCGCCAGGTCCTGAAGACCACCAGCAGATGAAAGAGTCATCATCAACCAGAGTACAATACGATCAGTGGCCTATGCCTCGTAGCGCATGCTTTCCTGTTCACCCGGCAACTTGCCACACACCGTTGCTTCTATCCCCTGCTCTCTCTTCTCCACCTGACCTCGCCTCCATCTACATCTCCTCGGGAGCAGCGAGGGGGCCGGGAGGGACTGCCCCAGCACCACCAGAACAGGGAGAGATAAGGAAACCAGGACTGACCAATTTCTTTCTCGCCAAATCACTTTCTTTGGAATCTGCTGAGTCCTTTTCACTGCACTTCATGGTTTATTTTTCAAATTTTGGACTGGGTTTCCTTGTTCCTGAAAAAGAGAAAAAAAAAGGAAGAAGTCATTAGATACTTGCTGTCCCGATGGGTAATTAGGGAAGGTGGCCCCAAAATGGGGGGGTTGCCTGGTGAGGGCATGAGGACGGTGGTGCCCGGCCCCCTGGGGACCCATGCAACTCCATGCTCCTCTCTGGCCTCATGTCTCCATCTGCAGGATGCGACATGGTGGGGCTGGATGACTTCTGTGTTTCCCACACTTGCTGTGTTGCTTATTAAATACAGGCCCCCTCCCCAAAACATCCTCATTCAGATGGTCATTCTTATGGCAGGGAAGATCTTGGAAACACCAAAATTTCTGCCCCCAAGATGTGAAAATAAAAGCGGTGTAAATTAAACCAAGTGCCAATCTTCCCTGTCAAATCGGAACCAGTCGCCAAAATTGTAACCGAAATCACTGGCAGGACAGAAGTAGAAAAATGTGCAGCTTTTCTGGAGTTTGGAAATAAGTTTCCAGAGCCATAAAAATATGTAGGCCCTTTGGCCCAACTACTCCATCTATAAAAAGTTATCAGAAAGCAGTAATAAAGAATGTGCCCAAAGATTTCAGCCTGAGATTGTTAACAAATGGGTATTCACAATAGAAAAAAAATCTAACAGGAAAGTTTAAATAAGTTGTGGTACATCCATATATGGAAACTCATGTAGCATTTAAAAACTATGTTAAAGAATATTTAACGTCATGGGAAAATGCTCATAATCTTACTTGACAGAGAAAGATCTATAAAAGAATATCCATTAGCATTAAAAACAGAGGTACTTACTAATAAACCCACGCTATCATATGAGGACTTAAACTATGCCTGTGTGTTTTTTTCATATAAAATAAAGATTTTTTTTTTTAGATGTTGGTACATTAAGTTATTTATTCCACAATTATTCGTTAAGCCCGTAATACCTAGGTAAGAGCAAGACAGACTTTGCCCTGCCCTCATGGAGCTTCCATTCTAGAAGAGCCCATTTGGGAAGAGCGTACAGAGTGCTCCCGGGGCATGGGGAAGGCGGGAGGACAGAAGGAGCCTGGGCTGCCGAGATGAGCAAAGGACACATCACATATTTATGTGCGGCGAAAATAGACTCCCTGGAAGTGGCAAAACAGAACAGTTTCTCCTTGGCCGTGGTATTTTAGTCCATTTCTATCTGGTTGGTTTTCCTATGCTTTTCCAATTTTTGACACAGACACACACAGACACACACACACACACACACACACACACAAACCTCACTTCTATAGCTAGAAAAGCGAGTTTTAAAAAATCGCTTTAAATTTAAAAAAAACTTTTAAATCAGTCCTTAAGGTGTCAAGTAGCCCAGCAGGCATAAAAAATACAATTCTGGAAGAATATTTAGTTCTGATAGGATGACGGGTTCTGGATCCAGAAGTCATTTGAGCTGGCCTGACGGGAATGTTGGTGGGTGAGCTTCTGTGGGCAGCCCTCGAGGGGGACATCTGAGGCCCTCCCCTGAGGGACCCTGCCTGTCTCAGCCCAGCACACACCCCGGGACACTCCAGCCCACTGGACCTCCCTTTTCAGGCCATTCTCATTCTCGTGTTCCTTTGGCTGCCCCTTAGCCTAGAATGCTTTTCCTCCTCCCCGTGCACAGAAGGAAGTGATTCAGTTTTTCCAGATGGAACAGACAGTCACGCAGAGGAGGTGAGCCTGGAAGGTGAGACTCTGTGCCTCACCCTACAGAGACCACCACAGAGCTGACAATGACTTCATCGTCCCCGAGACATCACGTCCCAGGTGAGAAGCTGCCCACAGGCACGACACAAGGACAGGTGCAGACAGCGTGCACCCCAGGCGGCGTGGGGCCATGAGTTCAAACCCCAGCCCTAGAGCTTACTAGTTGTGTGACTTGGGGCAAGTTGCTTAACCTCTCTGTACCTCTGTTTCTTTATATGTCGAGTGAGGAAGAATAACAGGACATATCTCACAGGGCTTTTGTGAAGATCAAATGAGTCCGTGTATATGAAGCACATAATAAATGCTAAATGGTCACCATCATCGCCGGACTCCCAGCAAATGGTCTCTGTGGAGCACAGATAAGGCATTCATTTGTCAGGGTCCTCTAAGACGGTGTCTTAGAACTGGTTACAAGGAAAAAGGAGGGGGAGCCATTTGGCGTATGAGTAGAGAACCCTCAACTGCCTCAAAATAAATCTCAAAGGCTTAAATAGAATAATGAATAAATAGAACATAGTATAAATAGAAGCTCTGGGCATGAGGTTCTAAAACCCTGTCTTTTCAATCTGCAGTAATAATATAGAAATTGCTGCTGATGCAATCTCACACTCTGCTGGTGTCCACTAGTGTGGCCATGCCACTTCTTAAAAGTTCCAAGTGCGCTGCACCCATTGATGAGCAGCCCCGTCCCCAGCCCCCAGGGTGCCCACCTGCCTCAGCCCAGCAGCTACAGGGTTAACGCCTACATAGTGATGCACAAGACTCTGCTCCTAGCATCTGATTGCCGCCCCTCCACACCGCCTCAGCTGTACCTGGGGTTAAATGTTTAGAAAACCGCCTCTGCTACTGATAATAAAACTTTCACGGGCACCGTGTGTCGATCGCGATGGCCAGCCATGCTGGAAATAAAGTAAGCAAGCCTTGGAGGAGTATCTTTACCCGCCCAACCTGTCACAGAGGGTGGATCTGAACCTAGACAGCTTCAGGTCACATCGCTGCTCAAAAGCCTGTGTTGGGTGGAAGGATGGACGGACGCAGGCAAAGAAAAGGCACGGCTGACATCAGTACACCACAGAACGTCAGCATACAGCACAGGTGAACCTGTTCTCCCAAAGCTGGCTCATGCAAGCGGGAGGCCACCTCTCTCGAAATGCCTGCAGGTGCTGCCTTGTGTGCGGTCCAGCCCCTGGCTGACAGCTCTCCATGGGAAATGCCACATACTTCCAACTCCCCCCACGTTTTTGATTAATACTTGGCTGTGACTTTATTCTTAATTTTCAGGGTGAAGTCCCTGCTGACTTCGGCATGGAGCTAAAGCTAACTCTAAAACAACATATTGAAAAGGAATGTGGAAAATAGAGCAGACTTGAGAGAGAGAGAGAGAAGGAGAGAAAGAAAAAAAGAAATAGAAGGAGAGGGAGGGAAGAAGGGGGCAGGCAGAAGGAGATTACTGGATTAGTAGCCATCCGAATGATTGCCTTAGCCATAATCACTCATAATCATTTCATTTTTATGTTAACATTTATCAAACACCATGCTAAGCACTTCGTGTGCATTTTCTCTCTTAATCTTCACCAAATTGATTTTCAAATCCCTCACTTTTCAATTCTCTTATTCCAGCTGCTTGGTGAGAGTCTCATAGGCTCTTGAAATCATCCCTAAAGCTAATCCAAGTCTGTGAGCCTAACTCACCTGGCTCCTGGGGCTTCCCTTGCCTGTTACAGTTTAAAGAGCAAAGAGCATATGCTTTCTAGATAACTCAGCTCCCCATATAATCCAATATAAGCCTGGGAAATTGTCAAAGAAAGCAACATTAACGATTAAATGGCACCAGCTGTTACTGTAAACATTCCGTGAAGCCTCTCTCCACGGGCAAGAGATAAATGATTAACAGCGAACTACCGAGGACTAGCTCAGCTTATCAGAAATGTGCCAGGTGAGGGTCAACAAGTTCTGGACCAGAGTCAAAGGCAGAGGTATTCCCGAGAAGCCACTGCTGATTATGGGACTGACCTTCCTGGGTGATGGAGGGCTTCTTGCTAGCCTGAGGGTGTGTGGCCAGCGCGGGACCAGCCTGCCCAGGTGGCGGTGAGGTTTCAGTGACATGACACACAACAAGCTATAAAGCAGGACACAGATGGGTGCACGTTGATTGAGTCCTAAGCCCAAATGAGCAGGATGAAGGGTTTACGCTTGTTACTCTGTTGTTGTAGGAGTACAATCAGCCCCATGAGAAATACGTGAGAGCCGTCGACTCTGAGATGCTGTACCCATGGCATTGCTCTTGTTGTTATTCTAGGAACACCACAATGTCCTCCTGACCTGTCCCTCTAGCACGAAAGAGATGCCCACGTGCGAATCCTACTCTGTCTTCAGGACTCTGAGATAAATGGAGGGCTGGAGTGGTGCAGAGATGCGAGGGACAGAGAGGTGAGGAATCCGAGAGCATGGCTGGGCAGCACGGGGCAAGATCCAAGGTCAGCCAAGGGCACCCACAGCCTCCTCCTGACCAGTTCACAGAGAGAGCCAATGGTGTGGGAAGTGAAAATGGGCTCCTGGGAGTCCCACCCACCATGGAAATGGGACTCTGTGCCTGGTTCAGGCATGTGCTTAGGTCCTGGGAGATGGCACCATTTGGGGAATGCGGAAAAGCGCATCCAATTCCCTTGGCATCAATTCAGAGCACCCAGGCAACCTGCTCATGGCTAATCCCATTTCCCCAGTTTCCCAATCTTGAGGTTGACAAAAGGGTGGCCTGGAGAGCAGGAAGAACTCACTTGATCCCTGCGAAGCATCTACGACAGGTGTTTTTACCAACCAACCTCCATGTCCGACACAACTTGCGCACCAGGAAGTTGACATTTCTGTGCCCGGGGTGATTTCAGCTCTGCGTAATGAAACGCAGACACACCTGGGCAGTGCGATTGCTTCCCCCAGGCTTTTCAAAGCTTCCGCAATTATCCAGCTGGTGCCTAGCCCTTTCTTTCCCCGATCAGTCACCCGACCTCTCTCTTGACATCTTTTTAGCTGCAGCAGATCATTCTCAATGCCAGGATTATTCAATCATTGGTTTAACAGCATCTGGATAGATAGTATAACAGGATGACCAAGAGCCTGGGATTCAGACCTCGAATCCCAGCCTGCCACTCCCCGGCCACGTCAGATGGGGCAAGTCACCCGTCTGCAAGGTGGGGATTAGGGAGTGCTCATCTCAGGGTCATGTCATACAGACCAAACGAGATGCTGCTCTTGGAATTGCCTGCTGTGTAGCAAGTGCCCAGTATTGCTATTGTTTTGGGAAGTCTCTTTGTTGATCATTACTTTTCTTCTTGTTTATTCATTTATTCTTTTTCAAGTGTTTATGGAGCACCTACTATGTGGCCAACATAGTGCTAGATACT